TATACTTAGCAGAAAATGTAAAGAAAATTAATTAAAAAGGAAATTGTTTGATTGATTGCCCACATGGGCTTCATCTAGTTTAAATATAAAAACAAAGCATGCAAGATCAAATTCCTTGGATCTAAGAACAGTAAATCCTAGGCCTGTCTTTGTTGCTCCCAGTCAGCCTACCAAAGCTAAGACTGCAAGGGAGACAGACAGTGCCACCACTCAAATCCTTTTTTCTGGCTAGGGGAGGGGAAACAAAAGACAAGCAGCAATATCTGTGGGTTTATGACAGTTTACCTTAAAAAATGCTCCTTCCTTTGCTGCTGAAGGTGATTAATAGAAACTTCTTGGAGATTTTTCTCCTTCTGTGGACTCAGTAGTTGTTTGGCATATCAGGTCAACAGATAGTTAACCAGGTCAAAGTGGACTCAAACTGACATGTTTTATAGTCCCCGTGCAGGTGTGAGAGTCAACAAATTAACAGTTATACCTCTTCCCAAACTGATCTTCCAAAACTAGGCTATATGCACCTTGGGTTGGGCTGCCTGTTTGGTGGTTGGTTTGCCTCTCTAGCATGAGAAAGAAGGCATAGCAATTGCTCAGCTGATAATATGGTTTAGTGTTCAAAATGGAAGCCATCCACTCTGCTGGGTGAGACATGGTGTTATGAAGGAGAAACTCCATTTGGCCATGATACCCATAATTCCATTTCTGGACTAGTTTTCTGGCTGTTCTGCTGTGAACATCTACTCCCCCAAAAGAGTGCCAGTTTCTCCCGAAATCCACTTTTCTATGGCAGCATGCATCCCGTGACAATTGCCAAAAAGACAGCGGCAAAGATGAAAGAGGCAGAGATGTACAGCAGGGCCTCAATACGCTGCTGTAGCTTCAGCATTGGCTCTGATGGAGCCAGCTGAAGTGCTTCTGCATGCAAAGTGTAGACGTGGATCTAGCCTTTAAAGCACGTGTTGGGACAGATATGCTGTATGAATTAGCAGTTTGGGCCAGCTAAAGAGCCCTGGAAGTTCTTTAATCTCTAGGTTTTAAAACAAGTGCTAATACAAAGCCTGAATATCTGCAGTCTCGCTGTGTGAGAGAAATACAGAATATGAAGGTATTCCATTGAGAGAGGAGTAGAATTCGTATTTGGAGTAGCAACAGATTAAGTAGATGATTGTCTATGGAATGGAGATACACAAGAGAGACATCAGGAGTAGTCCAAGAGCAATAGCTTTTAAACACACTGGTATTTTTGAGTCTAAATTCTGTGCTTGTACACTAGCTAAAATTTAGTTCAGAATCCTTTAGTCCAGAAACAGGAGGAGCTTGGGATGAGGGTCATGGGCATGAAGGGATGTGACAAACCAGGATCTAGCTGAGCATCCAGCTGGTGGTGTTTAAGCTGATATGAGGAGAGAATGGCAAAGCTTGGCAGACAGGGCTGGTGCAGAGAGACATGCTTAAGTATCAGATATGCAAGAGATGCTTAAGGAATATGAAAGTTTAGCAGTTAGGACATAAAGGGCACAGCTCAAAGAAGAAAAAAACTTTCATTCGTGTAATAGAGGGGAAAGGGAGCAGCCCTGAGAAAGTGGGTTGAAAGCAAGAAAAATGATCAGCCATAGGAAGGCAGGAAATAGCTGAAATTGAAAAGTTATTTTACTGGAAGCAGAGAAGCTAAAGGAGGAAGGTGGCTGGGTTAAAATGCTGCTACAGAAAAGAAAATCTTTGAAGGATCATGGATCTGGGAAAGCAATTTGCCGAGAAGCGGTGATTGCATAGCACCCAGTTGTGATTTCCCATGGCACGTTCAGGGTGAAAAAAACAAAATGCTTCTCTTTTGTCTTTGTCCAACGCTACTAGCTTCTGTGCATACTGTTCTTCCTTACCTTTGTCATTCCTAGTTCTCCTCATGCCATATCTTTCTGTTGCAAAATATAGAACCAGCATCTTTATCTTTTTTAAAAAGATAAAAGCTTCTATATTGGTTACCCTTGTAGATGCTTGATTCTCTTACAAGCAAATCTCCATTGACATTGCCAACACAGATATTGGTGATTCACGTACTTTCATCACTGAATGAAAGTTTGAGGGTTTCTTCCATGAAACTGTAAAAGATGACTATTCCTGCTCCCTGTAGGGCTTTATATGCTACACTACCTAGGGCTGAATTTATTCTTGATAAAAAAGGTTTTTAAAAAAGAAAACCAATGAATGGCACATCACATACAATGCATCAGGAAAGATACCGTTCCTCTTTGTCGCGGTCTGTACCAAATACTGATCCTGTATCTTAAAATCTTGCTGCCTGTCATCAGAGATGGTGGAAAAGTGACAAGTGTTTGTCATTTTTCTGAGGGGAAGAGGGAATCTGAGACCTCCACCTGATCTTTTGTTCTGTCTCAGCAGCCATGAGCAAAGTGCACCTGGGTGCTTAGGGGCACAGGAGGGCACGGGTGTGTAATGGTTCATATTCTTTCTCTTTTCTGCAAAAAATAATTTATCTCCACAAAGCCTTAAAATTTAAGTTCAAATAAATCTGCAAGGAGGTGAAATCTGACATCGTTCTGTAGCTCAAAGCACTCATTATCCCAACTTAATTAGCAGGCTAGGCTTAATGTGAAGCAGCTGAAGCAGTAGCTCCAGCCCATGAGTTTTGAGGTACTTACTTAAATCACTCTGAGTTAACTCATCACTCATTCCCTCACAAATGCTTGAGCTGAGATGATAATTTATTTTTTTTTAATGTAGGGATAATTGCAGTACTGTAGTCCATTTAAGATTATCTGGTAAAATGTCTTCATATGCATTTACTCTGAAGTGCCAGAGATTACAAATGATAACACACATCCCTAAAATAAGAGGTAAAAGGACTTGGGTACCTAAAAACCATTTCTGGCCAAACACTGAGAATGAGATTCAGGTGCCTAAAGATGAGAATTAAACATTAAAGACCACAGGGTATCCTACCTTGTCTCCATCTGCTTTTCTAGAAAGCTGTGTATCTTCCATAAATCTACTAACTCCCCTTGGATACCTGAGGTATCTGTGAATTTGAAGCCTCATTAGTCCCCTCTGTTTAGATACATGAATTGCCCCCTACATACCTAAAAATGGTTTTCTTTCCTTTTACACCTAAATGTCAAACTGATACAAAATCCTCTGTCCTCTGACACTTGATAGAAGTGGTGAGGCCCATGTGTTTTGGGTGCATGCTTTTCAGTCCTACTGCCCGGGGTTTTATTCCATCTTCCGCTTCCACTGTAACTTTTTGCACAATGATTTTAGTAATAAGAAACTGATCTGTCACGATGAACAACATCACAGACATGAGCTAGCACTGGTCAGACAATCCGGGTTTGACAGCAGCCACTGCCTTTGTTTCATAAATCTGCTCTGTCAACAGCTTAAGTCATGAGACAAAGGGAAGAGAGAGTTTCTGTATACAAACCATTGTGACTTGCAGTTCCTTCACAGACAACATGTGCTGCAGTCAGCAATGCCAGAGACTATATATTATGGAGCAGGGTGGACAGCAAAGTCACTGGCTCAGTCGTTGCAGTGGAAGGCCTGTCTAGAGGGGTAGTCATGTCATTCAATGCTAAAAAAGAGGGCATTAAACTTTGTGGTGGCTAATGACCCTTATTTTGGTTTGTGCTGATCTGTCTCCTGGATTAGGGGTCCTCCTTTATAAATCTCATTGCCACGTCAGGTAGTTGTCTTCCTTTTCTTGTCTCGCCTACACCTTTCCTGGTGCTCCCCAAAGTCTGAGGAGTGATCATCTGCTCATGGGGACAAGCATCTCTCAACCTCAGTACCGCAGCCTGCCTTCCTCTCAAAAATACAACTTGGTCTCCTTCCATCTGCTGCCTTCACTGCTGGCCAACAGCTCTGGCATTACCCTGCTTCATCTTCCTAGGTTTGCTTGCTCCTTCATCCCACAAAAAAGTGCACATGTTTAGCTCTAAGACTCAGTCTGACAGCATTTCTTACCTCTTAACAGATTTTGCCTTTAAAATTGAGGGTAGTTTTTCCCCTTCAAGCACTTCAGTGGCAGAAAAAAATATCCCTATGCAAACTGACAAACCTTTAACCCTCTTAAATCACACGGGATTCACTGCTGCTCTAATGCCTACAAAGTACCTTGTACTCTTTAGACAGCCCAAATCCAGAATCTCCTACATATTATACTAATAATAATGTTTGTTTGTTTGTTTGTTTTTGTGGGCTCTTACATCTACTTTTGCACCTCAGTATGTCCTAGAAGATTTCCAGTGTTCCGAGAAGGGACAGGGTTCCAGGTGTTGCACTAAAGCCAATGGTGATTATCAGTTCCACCTTAAAACAGCACTATCTGAAGAGAAAAAGCATGATGCACAAATTAACTATTTCTCAAATACAGTGGTGGCATTTCTGTCACTGTATCATGTGATGAATACAGTCTAATTTATTAGACTGTCAGTTGAATACACTGACTCGTGATCAAAATTTGTTCCATCCGAATTAAGTAGACAGTTTTCGCACATTTATTAAATGATTGAAAGTAATAATAAAAGTTTCCCAGTAATATTCTTTCCATAAAGACTGTGGAACACTGGAGTTGAATGATATTAAAAACACAAGGATGATGAAAATGCACGAAACCATATATGTCTGGAAATTTAAGTGGAGCACGTGTTAGAACAAAGAGAATAAAGTTCATATATATTGTGACATACAGACATCAGTAGTTCTGGAATAGATCTGTAGCATCACAACAAAATACGGTGGTGCTTTGCTATTTTTATATTATCTGGCTACACGATGTGAAATAATGGGCACCTTTGAGGGGGGAAAAAATTGTGATGTATTACTTCTATTAGAGCAAGCTCTACCTCTAGGACAGGGCTCTTAGTTTGAGTCTGTTTGAGGTTTCTTGTGGTTTTGATAGGTTAATTTTCCTAGTCTTGTTCTCTCGAGCTAGGAACCATCTCACAACTATTTAATAAATGTGCCAAAGTAGTTTTTCAGAGATGAGTGAAAATGGCAATGAAGTCTACAGAGTTACATCAGCAGTGAATTTGTCTCAAGGCAACGGTAGGGAAATATTTCCAGAAGTGGTACCATATCTATGATGATTTTGCTCCTGTTAAATCTACTGGAAGAATAGTTTACTCTGCTGTTTTGCTCTGAAGGCAGAATCTTTCATAGGACAGCTCTAAGTTTGATCTCATGAAGGAAAGAGTTTTCTGAATAAGTAGTGGAGGCATGTGCTAAAGTGTTAATGAGACTTCATCATGCAAAGGAAAACACGTTAAATCCGCATTGTTGAAATGTTTAGTAAGCAAATGTTATCATCTTACAGTTAAAGACTTAAGTGTATGTTAACAAACAAATCCTTCTCTCGGTAGAAAAGTGATGGAAGTCTCCTCTTAGAAAAGTAAATTTTAAATGTATGGTGTCAGAAACATGCTGCCACAAACAACGACAGGACAACCCCTTTCTGTGGCGCTGCCCCAAAGTTATGACTGTCTGCTGTCTTCCTTCCTTTATGAGTGAAACTGAACAAATAAATATGATTTTTTTTTCCTTGTCACATTGGTGGCTATGTTCAATCATATTATGTAAACCCTCTTTAAAAGCATCAAATCAGTTTTGAGTCTTACAATGTGTAATTTTGCTCAAATAAAAAAAATCTATTTGTAGATCGAAGCAGTTCTGTATGAATCTTAATGAAAATTAACAATGCTGTTTATTTTTAATATTCTCACACGTCCTCCTCTCTTTCCAAGACCCTTATCAGTTCTTACTTCTCCAGCTCAGGGAGGCTTCTTGAGCTGCATGCTGAATTCCCTAGCCTTCCTACTAGTAGTACTAGATAAAACTTTGCTGACATTGCAAAACTAGTTTCCATTATACATTTCAGTAAAAATTAAAAATAATTCTAAATGCAAACACCGCAGATTGTAACACACACTATTTTGTATGTATTGTGTGCAGAAGTCAAGGATCACGTGTTGTCAGCTGTGTTGGGTTGATGTATTAGTCGCTGTGCTTTCATTGACATTACTCAGCATTTACAGTACTCTAAACTAGAGCAGGGTTTCTTCTGTAGCTAACACTAGAAAACACAAGTCTCTTCATGTCTATTGTAAAGCAGCAGGAACATTCCTGAGATACAAGAAGTTAACTGATAACTGATTTTTTTTTCTGTGAATGTAGTATAGTAATTTATTAACTAATTGTACATATAGTTTTAGAAAACATTTAGAATGCAAGCAAGATATGGTGTAATGTTTTCTGTGGTATAAAGAATAGTCCTTAACTTTCAACTCTGTCACGAACTCTCATAACTACATTAAAGCAAATTTATCTTTTTTCAATGGAAGTGCACACGTTTTGGATTCATTTAAGTTAAGGATACATTTGTTATGGTTTAGGCAGGGGGGTTTCTCACCCCAAATGTATTTTCAAATAGCTAGTGAACTGTTCAAAGTACTGAAACCACAGAAAATGTTAACAGTCAGACTTGTTAATAGATTTTAAGCCCATGTGAAGAGTGGCTTAGACCAGCTCTATAGCCACTCCCCACTTCTCCCAGCTGGTGTGCCACCTTTTTCTGGCAAACCTGTGGAAGGACATTTGGAGCCATGCTGCCTGTCTGTGCCATCAGCTGCTTTACCTGCGCATGTGAGCAGCCACGTTGCAGGTGGCAGTTCTTGATTGTGTTTATTTTAGTTTTCATACTGAGCTTTTCCTGATAGCTCCAAAGCCTTTATTTCTTGTAAGAAGCATCTTGTGTATCTAGGCATGTGTGCTTATATGAATACTATTGCCTGGAATACTAGCCCAGTTACAGGGAAAAAATCTGCCTGGGGCAGTCCTCTGGATTTCTTTATACCCAGTGCTCTAAGGGACACAGTCTTTGGCTGCTAATGGAATGATCAGTGTCACCTGGGACCATCAGAGGACTGAAATGGTGAGATGCTCTGTTGCACTTTCAGAGACACAAAAGGAAAAAGGGAACCTCGGTCTGTTCTGGATGTATGTATAGAGTAAAGCAGAAAGTCTCACTGATCTATCTACTTGTACTTACTCCTGACTAGTGGCAGACACTGCATTAGAGTAGTAAAAGGTACAGGAAATGATGGCTGGTTTTATTTTTTTGATACACAAGCTTGCTTTATTATCTGCTACAAACTGAAGTAATCACCGTAAGAGATAATCAACTATTACTGTGTTCATGTGACATGGTGCAAACACACAGGTGTAAATACCGTTTCAGGATGGTTTTAAACAGTGCATCATATATGTGTAGGAGAAAAAAAGATTTTCAGCTTGCTCAAACCAACCATTTCCTGAAGAGAAAGTGGTGTTAACATCTGTACTATATCTGATAATGCTGCTGAAAAGCTAGTAATGCAAATGACCAATTAAATATTAAGCACAAAGTAGTAGAAAAGTTTAAGGACAAGATTCGTATTTGTATTGCAGCACATTGGTAAGATTCAAACCCTGCAGTGCACATTTTGTTAGTAATGTTATGACTTTTATAATCAGGAATGTTTTTACACGATATAGAGTCAATAGGTTCTAATATCTCACATTACCACAAAATCTGTTTGATATCCTTTAAGTTTAACATTTCGGTGCAGACATTTTAGGTTTTATCTGTGTGATGAATTTTCTGTTCCAAATGACAGACTGTGTTTCTACCACAGCAGGCAAAATTGTGAGAAATAAAACCAGTTTAACATTTGATAGTTAAAAGATGTGATTTTTCCTCTTACCTCTGCTTTCAAATATGGACATACACAACTGAATTTATTAATTCAGAAATAAGGTTTTTAATAAGCACTAACAGAAATGGCTAAGATTTTTTTATTATAAAATATTATTAAATTATCATCATATACAATAATCATAAGTGGTTATTTAATTCATAAAATGTCATGTATGTTAGATTACTAATTCTATTTCTTTTTCCCAATTTTCCTGTCATTTTCATCCTGCATGATACAGTCGTGGTGATTGCTGTGTGCAGATTCCTAGCATAGTTGCACTGAAGGTGATTCAGACCTCAGCAACAACTTCATCAAAAACACTCCCTTTCTGATCTTGTCTTCATCACATTGAAGGACTGAGCAGCCATTTTACTTTAATAGTAGCCTTCTAGAACTACTGTGAGGCTTCTCACATATCTGCCAGTGCTCACCCTGCCTACATTTATATATATTTCATTTACATTTAAACTATATGTATATGAATTCTCAGAAGCTGCTCGTATGTTATCCTCAAAAGCGCTACATGACTTTCAGGTGCAAAACTGAAAAAAAAAAAAAATCTTTGTTCATTTAAACAAGTTCTAATAATCATAGAATCATTTAGGTTGGAAAAGACCTTTAAGACAGTTGAGTCTTAACTGTAATCAACAAAATTTCTTTTTCATGTCTTCAGTTCAATGTGACTACTTAAAAAATTCATTGAGCCTTTCATTTTAGGAGATTTAAAGTTCTGGAGGTTAGAATTCTATAACTTATTAAATATCAGACAGGAGTAGAGGTCAGAAAGGCTCCCTTTCTAATCAGTATGATGCATACAACTAAGGATGTGTGGAAAGATGGTGCCATCCCTGAGCAATAAAATCTAAGAAACACTAATAAACCTAGTTAAATTACTGTGCGTAGTATAGATTTAACCTTGTACAATGAAACCAGTCCTTCAGAAAAGATTTTTTCACAATAGCAATGTTGTTGGCTTTGCATTCTCTGTAGTGTTTTTAACAACTGATGCACATTTTATTTATAGTAACAAGTTATGAGTTGGGTGGTGGGAGAAGAGGACTTTCCAAGTTCTGTAAGTTGTAGTATCCAGTTATCTTTATACATGTACTTGGCCTTGGCTATCATCATCTCATTCTCCCAAGGACATGACGTAGCCCTATCTGAGGTCTCCAAGTGATGTAGTATGGAAATATTTAGTGTCCTTAATGTGTGAAATGCTTGAACATGCAATCGTATAAATGTGGCTTACTCCAAACTGGTATCAGTAGTGAATTAGGTTACACGCGATGATGCAAGTGATGCTAACGGGTTTTGCGTGTTTTCCCTGTGCTACTTCTCCATCACCCTTTATTGCTGTATCTTCTGAATTCTCCCTTCATTTTCTTTCAACAAAGGCAAGTATGCCATGAGGGATCTGGTCCACCGACTGCCAGGCGCTAACAGCAGCAACAACTCAGCAAGCAAGGCCATGTCTGATGACACCGTCACTGCCATTTGCTGCACTCTGCATGAAGTCATCACTAAAAATATGGAGAATGCCAAGGCCTTACGAGACGCAGGCGGCATTGAGAAACTGGTTGGCATATCTAAGAGTAAAGGAGACAAGTATGTTTTGCAAATCACCTTGCACCTTTTTAACATCTCTGGTAGTTATTACTAGTCCTGAATGTGTTTGCCTCCTCTGTGCAATTGTAAGTTGAATTCTTTAGTTTCATCAGAAATCATATGCCCAGTGTGAAAGGTGACAAGAAGCAGACGATACCAATAGCAAAGGTCTGCTGTGATTTATTTTTGACGTACCATCAACAACGCATGGAGTGCACTACATGTGCAGTTTAAGGAAGAGTAGTTATCTACAATAACTGCTACCTCTAAGCACTTCCAGAAAAACATTAGGGACCAGAGTTGTTGGATTACACCCTGAAGAAGGGGTGACATGCAGGTGGAGGGACTCTGTGAAAGGAAGGGACCCCACTGCAGTTCTGTTACTGCTCCTCTTCTTCTAGGAGTGAAGAATGTAAAGTCACTGTCCCACTTCACAGCACCCTTTTCCTTGTCACCGGCTTGCTGGCAAGGTGAGGCATAGCAGAAAAGCAAATCTGTGGATTTTCCTAAAACTTTGCTTCTGAGAGAGCATTAGGATACCTATAGGCTACTTTGTGAGACAACAAAACATGCAAAGATCTTACATACGACTGTGAGATTTTCAGAGCAGCTATGGTTTCATCTTGTCTGTTTTCCTATGTACACACTCTTCACAAAGAGTTCACTCTTTATCCTTCTTTTGCCTAAAACAGATAGCCTGGTTCTCATATTTGTCAACCTGCAGAAGTATAGTGCAATGGGACTATGGCAGTTTGAAAACAAAAAGCCTTCACTGTAGTGTACAAAACCCATCAGTCCACCTACTTGAAGCTGTCATCACACAGCCTACTGCAGCATCAGAGCTCTAAAAGAGCCCCCAGAGCCAGGCCACAACCTGAAGGAAAGATTTATGCACCCTACATTTGGTATGAGAACTTATGCTCACCTATGTGATTGGAGCATTGACAATATAATCTAATCACATTTCTTTTCCTCTGTTGTCACCCTTTTCTTTCCATACCAAATTCATTATTGAAATATTCTCACGTTAGGGGTTACAATTCTCATTATAAGGGGTAAAAAGTATTAGTGTAACAAAGTATGCGATTCATGTAATTCATGTGATTCCCAAAGTTGTGGGAGCTTCCCATGCTCTGCCAGTTTATTTTCATTTGTGGTTTTATGATTATTAAATCTATTTTAATTATTTATATTTTCTAGATCAAAGGTACTGATACTGTAAGCAGGTTCATATCCATTTAAGTTGAACATATCTTTCCTCAGAATAATGCATTTGTCTACCTGTTCACTGTCTGTCAGAGGTTATTACTCCCTGTTGAGTCTAGAGTTTTCAAAGTATCATGGGCAGTTTTAGGAGCATCCAAGGGTATAATTCCCTGGCTAAGTATCGCTTATAACTGTGAGAGACATATTTATGTTGAATGAAAGTATTTAGCCCAGGTAATGTTGAGTAATATCAAAATACTCTCACAAATCACATATCCCTCCTCTCAAGTACTTTCAGTTGTAGTCCTGTGTTATCACTGATACAAGTTACACAGTTCTAGAACAAGAAAACCTGTCAACTCACAGTGCTCAAATACCCATCTTAAGTGAAAGATCCAATTTTTTCAGCTCTCAGAAATGTTAGTATTGTGCACTATTGCTTCGGTTTTATTTCTTGTAGGTAATCCATTGTTTACAGAATTGCTGTTTGTAGGAAATTCTGCCATACTCTCGATAATGCATTAAAACACTTGAGTATGAATTTATCTTCTTGAGTATGAAGCATCTGCTTCTACAAGTGCAGGATACTAGCCTAGCCATGTATCCTGTTATGCATCAGTGCCAGGAATGTAGGGCTGGCCCCACTAGCCTGTGGAATACCCCCAGGGCTTGACTGCTTGCCCTTTATGACAGCACAAGAGAACTGGTGTTCATAAGGTCCTATCGGCCAATATTGGCTTCATGTTGTTCTTGTTTCTGCTCAGTACTCACAGTTTGGTTGGCACAGTTATTTCCCTGGTTTGTCCATGCTACCAGCCATCCCCCTAACCAGTACAGCTGGGAGTATAATAAAACCAATTATGCTTGAAAGGGTTTATCAAACTCCTTTTTATTCACCAGTTACCCCCCTGTTGCTGTGCTCTGAGTGAGACATGGAAGAAACAGGGGAAAAAACCACCAAATAAATTACTAGGAAAATGCTGTCTAAGTTAATTAAATCAGTTGTGACATAAACATTGCTTTACCAGCTTGAGTGTCACCCTACCAGTGGTCCTTAGAGGTGGCAGGATGCACCAGAGCCCAACCCCTGAGAAGACTTCCTGCCCAAACCAGAAGCATGTGCTGCTGATTTTCTGGCTTCTCTTTGGTTTTGCAATCCATGTGCCTTTTCTGAGTAAAATATTAATCACCTCAGTCACTGCCCTGAACTCCATCAATCCTCGCTCCAGACTTTGGCCTTTGCAAGGTTTCTTATTGCTCTGCTGCTTCATGTGTATTATAGGTACAGCACAGTGTATGCTTCCTCAGTGGGCTGGGCTTTCTTCCCAGTCCTTTCCTATGTGATCCTTCTTCACTGAGCTGAATGCTCTTTAATTTTTTTTTTTTAAAGTTTCCTATCCCTAGAGGAATGTTTGAATCCAATTGATTGTAGTAATAGTTTATTGCTACTTTCAAAATCTTTCTGAAGAGAAAGTCAATGTGAAGTTATATATGGTTTTCAATGTGACATTGTATTGCCATGTGTAAAGGGTAATGGTGTGAGCAAGATGCAAGTCCTAACTTTGATTCCTGATGACATTTTTCGTGACTTTTTATAATCAGTTGTATTTCTGCATCTTGGCTCTGCACTTCAAAAGCAGTGCTCATCACCCATCTAGAGTGTTTATTTTGGCATAAATAAATAAAACGGATAAAACGGATAAAACGGATGCTTAATGTTTTGAGCATGCTGTCAAGAGTTGAAGTTTGACAGCATATAGAGAAAGAAACTCTGGCTTTTACGTTTTGTCTTTTATGCCAAAAGTTGTAGCCAGGACATCTTAAATGTACATAACACCAGTTGGATCCTCAACAGTTTTGCCAATTGCTACCTCTCCCATTCCTCTTGGTATGGCTTCAGCATGAATCGTTGTTCTCAGTGTGCTGAGGAACACACATTTTGCTCCTCACTGAATAATTAGTACTGTAGAAAAAAATGTGTTGCCCTGGCTTAAAAACACAATGGTCTCCAAGATGCCAGCCAAAGGTCTTATGATAAATAGGAAATGCACTTTATATTGTGGGTTTAAGTCAAAAGCAATGCATTTGAAAATCAAGTTGAACATAATCTTGTACTTAACAGTCTCTTTCTCACTCTATCTTTCTCTCTCTCTCCCTTCTGTAATATGTGTGTGTAACAGGCATTCGCCAAAAGTGGTGAAAGCAGCATCTCAGGTCCTCAATAGTATGTGGCAGTACAGAGACCTGAGAAGTCTCTACAAAAAGGTAAGGCATGGCTTTTTTCTAGATTTATCATCTTTCATACAGTTACCCAAATTTGGGGGCTGAGAGCCTTTAGACCAAAACATTTATGTGACTGGAAATTCACCTAGAATTTATAAAATCTCAGATACTTACAGCTATGAGGTTTCCCCTCATTTCTTAACATAGAAGGACCTTCTGAAAATACATGTGGTGGTGAAAAGGGGATGTGAACTTGAGAATCCATACAAAAAGTGCAGGATCTGAGAGCCGGAGAGAGTGAAGTCCTCTGTTCATAGAACAAACCTATGCAAGCTCTCCTACTGTACCTTTCCTTCTTACATCTTCCCAGCCTGTCCTGAGGAGATTCCAGATTTCCAGCCCTTCAGCTCCCAAATTTCCTCATGAGATTTTGAACAAGAGTATCTGAACGAGTGATACTTAGGGACTGGCTACATGTGGAGCTGGGCTGAAACTTGAAAGTTTCACTTCCAGTCAGCTGCCAGGCAGTAACATCATATGCTTGGTTTTCAGACAGTCTGTGGAGTCTGTAGCCATTCCCACAGGCCTGCTAACCTCTTAAAAATGAATTGCAACATGGTAACACGATCCTGTGAAACAACATTCTGTACAGCTTTTAAAACGTGTCTACTTAGTAAATGATAGCATTTAAAGTAATTTTTGCTGAATCTTTCCATACCGAATCATATTCCATGTGAGTATCATCCTGCAGATTTAGTATTCAAAGATCTTTGTGCTACATAGAATTTCACAGCTTACCTGATCTTGGTATTTGTAATCTCATCAAAGAGAGCTAAGACTTCATGTGGCACAGAAGTTCAGGTCCTAATTAAGACTGAGGCATAAAAATGGTGAAGTAGGGAAGGTTCAGAGTGGCACAGTCTGTTGTATGTATTTTGCACAAGAACTTAGCTACATGAAGTGTATGCACCAGATCTCAAACTGGCAGAAGCTGACCTTCTGTTTGAAATGCTGTTCTTTTGCATGCCTCAGCCCTGCTTGTGTCAAGCCTGAGGAGCAAGGAAGATGATTATCGAGTCTCTCCCATTGTTCACTTCCAGTATTTTCAGTCATCCTTGGCAGCCCTAGGGATACCATATGTGAAGACATTCCAAGTAATGAGCTGGTACTCAACTGTCCCATTAAGAGGTGGGAACAAACATGAGCTAGAGTAGGCTTTTCTTGACACATGGCAGTAACACACTGGAAGTGTGCATAGCCTGACTTCTGTGCATGTGGGTGGCTGCACTATAGAGGCTGAACTTTATTGCACCATAATCTCGTAGATGTTCTTACAATGTCTGGCTCATTTCCAACCTTCTATCTGTATATATATGCTGTGATGGAAAAGCAGTTTCTGGGATTGCTCCGTGCGTGAGGTAATCTATATGCTGTTTGGCTTCAGAGTGTACAGCTACCTAAAGGACGTTCTGCTGGCTGCCAGTGGGAATGCCTGGGAAAATGTGCTTACATACTAAGCATGCTTAGGGACTAAGCACCTTACGTGCTTGGAAGAACGTTTTCTGCAGCCACAGACACATACTTCTGGTGTGGAAAACAGGGCAGACTAGACTTTGTGGTAGCTTCCAGGACATTCGTAGCAGACAGATTGTCTATTCTTAGGAAGCATTTTATTAATCTCTGTATTGGCTAATTCCTACAGGCTTCACAAAATCTTAAAGTTAAGATCAGTGTCTGCTACATATTTGTATACATATGATGCCAAGCCTTGTATAAATATGGTTTCTTTTCATCAAAATGTTCAAATAGCTAATTTAGAATACTCCTGTTTGTTAAAAGACATACAATAATCTTTACAAAAATGTTTTAAATTTGCCTATAGTAGGTTGACTATTATGCTGGCTGACTGAGTTTCACCACCCTAGGGAAAATGTTTTTTCTGACAGGAAAATGAGAAAAGCTTGCATTACTCTAATGGTCAACTAGTTAAGTAATATAAAGACACTTAATCAGTGCAACCTGTATTTTGTCCATTAAAATACATATGTTAGTAAAACCAGTGAACCTACAGTCGATGGTATAATATGATCAGCACTTTGCAGTATCTTGCACAGCCTTTTTTGAAGTACAGGTTATTACATAACTATCAGCAATATTTTTTTTTTTTTTTTTTCCTGTGGCATGAAGTATCTATACAATTACTTTCAAAGAATTGGTGGCCTATACAGCGACACAATTTTGTATTGTAATACAAGGAAATTAAAAGCATCACATCGCAGTTAAGAAAAAGCAGCAGCACTTACTTTTTGAGAAACAGTATAACCAAACAGTTTGAACTGTGGTATATTTTAAAGCTATATGTTTACAGCACAGTAAGTAAGGAGAGGTAAAAAGAATACAAGTATTATATTTTGTATTAATGGGGAAAGATGTTTACTGCTGATACAATAGTAGTCAGTATATTTAGTCCAAATTATTGCCTGCATTAGCAAAGCCATGAAAACCTCTTTCACATTTCTAACTTTACTCAACATTACAGGAATCATCCCATAGCTGGCAGAGTATGAACTGCACTGACAGAAAGTCCATCCAGAGTTGGGGATTAGTGTGATCACCTAATTAATGAATTGCCACAACCAGTGAAGGACCAAAAGCCAAGTAGCACATAGGCACCAATTTCCCACTTGCAGCACTCCTCAACAAACTCTTGGCTGTGAAGTGGAAAGAACTGCAGGAGTCAGAAACTAGTCCCCCACCTGCTACCAGGAGCCCAGCTGCCCTAAGCAGGGTATATGCAATGCTTCCTGCAAGCTCCCATCCTGTCATGGGTGAGCAAGTTTTGTGGCTTTAACCTAGGCTATGACATCAATACACTTGTGTAGTGAAATTTAAATAAGGCAGCCTCTAGGGATGCTGTCAAAATCAGCTGTTGCATAAAAAGTAGGCCAAATCTAATAGATTTCTGAGTTTCAGCTTCAGCTGTGTTATTCTAGTAGAACAGTAGTGTGTAGAGATTTCATTGTGCTGCTCAGTGTGACAGAGATTGCCTGTTTCTCTGGGCCATTCAAAGCCAAAAACTGCAGCAGCAACTGCAATGATTCAGTTAGCTTCGTTGACCAAATCAAGCAATATAGCCTCTCTCAAGGTTGTAGTGTACAGTATATTTTGACAAAACAGAATTTTAAGGTCCAATCCATTTTTATCCCATAAAATGCAGAATTATTCCACAAGTCAGTGGGATGGGAGGCATATAAAAATTATATCTAGTAAGACAAGTTAAGCTAGAGATACAAGTGTTTCTGGAAAAAGAGTTTCAGGGTAGCCCATGTGCTGTGTTGGAACAGAGCAGCAGAGCAGATGTGCAGAACACACCCTGCAAGCAACACAGCTTCAACAGTCCAGAGCTCAGAGTTCTGGTACCCAGGAACTTCTCTGCAGTGGGCTGATCCTGCTCCCAGTGAAAGCTATGAGAAGGCCCTATTGATTTCATAGGTCTTTTCTCTAAGGCCCCAGAACCCAGGCACTGGAACTTTTGCAGACAGCTGAACTTTACTGCAGAGACAGGCTTACTAAGAGGCAGGATCCAGTGTGTCCTGGGATTTCCAAGATCTTAGAAGAATGGAAGACTTGTGTGTCGCTTTCATTCAGTTTTCTGGAGCAGGAACATTGTGCCCATTTATTAATAACTAATACAAGAGTGGTTGCACGCTTTGGACTGTTTGCCTCTCTTCTCAAATAGGTTTTTATCCTCTGAAAAACATGTTCAGGTGGACATTGTGGCTTCTCTGGCTCAGGAGAATGATGGATAGATTTCTAACTTCCCACAGCCTGAGCTGCAGCCTCAAGGAGGAGGAGGCATTGACTTTGTTGTCTCAGTTTTCACATGGAAAGCTCTGTAAGTCCGCAATAGCTTCTGCACTGTGTTTGCAGAGCTGTGTCATGCCCTGTACCTTCCACTGACAGGTTCTACACAGTGTACCAGGATTTCCAGTTCATAGCTGTGTTGTGGCTTTAGTGGGACAAATAGACTTGTTAGGTTGGGCGGGCATGGAGAAGGCACGGAAAGTGAACAGTCATCATTGTGGTCTTGGAGTGAGGTCACAGTGTTTACTGTCCTTTTAGGCTTGTGCTTTGGGGAAAAAAGAGAATTTCAATCCCCGAGTTGAATTGTTTATTTGGCATGAATGGGTAGTTTGGCACTATCCTAACACAGTCAAACAAGGAAAAGTTGTGAAATGCGTAAATGTTTCCAGTCCTAAACTTACAGAAGAAAAATCTTGACAGGCCAAGAGGGAGCAGTGAATTTAGTCTGGAAATGAAGGAATTACTAGCCATCCCAGGAGTTAACTATCAGGTCTTTCATCATTAAAAAGTTCACAGGAAATACTGCTCAGTTTGCTGAGCAATAGCTGAAACAGAATTGTAATCTGAAAAAAAATTCCCACCAAGAGAAAAACAAGATTCAGGTTCAGTCCCATGTACACAGTGTTTAGACTATCTAGTGTGATTAATTGCTAAATACCGCTAAAGCTTAGCAAGTAAAAAAGAGGTGATCATTGCAATTTTTCATCAGTAGGTGAAATAGTCTCCCAAAGAATGACTTTAATGTCATGTCATTTTTAGACTTGTTTGTTCTCCACAAATAAGATTTGTATTCCCATAAATAACCATTAATCTACCTGGTTTTGTGAGTCTGTTCCAAAATAATTAAAATCTGATTTTGAAAAGTGCTTAAATGGTCACATGGTCTATAGCTCCATCGGTGGTTCAGTGGCTTAGCACTTATGAAAGAGACAGGTAGGGGATCTAACCCGCTTGTCCCTGTGCTTGAGACTTATGGTACACCCTTCTTCAAGTATCTTGGTAACCTGGACAGTCAGCAGGAGAAGTAAGTGCTACTTGAAGTCTCCAGAGAGAGGTCCTGTCCCATTTATGTTTAGCCACCTAAGCAAGGTGAAAGAAGCTCCTATGGTGATTCCTTAAAGACACCTATTTCCAAGTCAGGTCAACTAGACCCCACTCCTGTCTTTGGGATATTAGCT